CCCCCTCCTCCTCTCCCTCTTCCCTCCCCTAGAATTTTTTTTTTGCTTGTTCGTATGTGTCCTCTTCTCGATCTCGCTCTCTCACATTATTTCCTTTCGCAGGGAAGGCACACACGCATGCTAGCATGCCGCAGCGCGTTCTTTTGCGGGGAAAAGGCGCGGCCAAAGTAGCCCAGAGCGGAGTGTGTAGGAGCGCCAGCCCCTGTAACGGCTCATGCTTCGCTCCTTTCGCAAAATGAATGGGGCGAAGAGTCCAACCCACACCCACGCGAGGACGCCAAACGACCGAATATCCTTCGAGACGAAGGCAAAGGAGCCGTAAATGAGCATCTCTCCCAGGTAGTTGGGGTGTCGAATGCGAGAAAAGAAGCCATCTGTGATCAGCCCCTTCTCCTTTTTCAAGACAAAGTATTTCTGGCAATCACTGCCCATCATCAAAGCAATTCCAATGGAGTAGACGATGATGGCCACGCATAGTGACATGTTGGACTGCTCTGCGTGGCACATAATGGCGTTATACGCAATATACCAATAAGGGCCCAATACACTCAAGAAGACGGCGATGGCACTTCCAAAGGTGATTTTTTTCTGCCACTTTTGATCAGGAAATATAAGCTCCTTCAGCAACCAGCAAAGGCCATATCCGCCGTGGAGGGCGGTGTACGTCGTTGCCGTCGCGGAATAGTTTCCTGACTTCTTCATCATCAAGAGGCAAATGAGCAGTGTACCTCCCTTTTGCATGTTAATAACATGAGCAAGCCTTATAACCTTTGGGCCCCCCAAGCAATCCGCAGCCAGGTAGTCGATGCAAGAAAGCCACTTCTCTAGCAGAAATGGGAGCTCATGCTGCTTACTATCCTCCACAGCTCCTGCTGCCATTTGCTGGTTGTCCACTTTGCTTCTACTTGATACTAAACGCTCCTCTCGGTGTCAATCTCTCCCCATACCGCGCACGCGCAAAAAACAACAACAACAACAACAACAACAACAACAACAACAAGGAACAGTCAGGTTCACCCAGGGACCAGTTTACACCACACTTCAAGGACGAAGCCCAAGTGCAGACCTTGTTGTTTAGCTAATGCATTTGCCGCCTCTGAAGTGATAAGACTAGATGTCTTCATCCACTCATACCACACTCCCAAACTCACCTTCTATGTGTCGCAGCAAGACGGCAACCAACTGTTGTCTGTCCTCTGCTGCATTTAAATCATCGTGCAGAGTCGCTAGTCCTTTACCACCCTCCATAAATGCACTTAAGGGGAAGTCCTTGCCAAGTCGGTGGTCCGTCACGCGGTTCTGGGGATAGTTGTACGTGCGCATCTTATCCGATCTTTCGCCACTGCTCCATTGCCTTCTCCAGGCCTCGTGAAGAGACGAGTTTTGGTCCTTGACACGCCGTGCCAACAACTGTTGGGCAACCGCCTGTAAAGCAAGTTCCTTGTTTCCCAGGGCAGATCGGGACTGATGGCATTTTACAGAAATGCCAGAGGGGAGATGCGTGAGACAAACGGCGTTGGAACTGCTCTGCATCCCCTGGCCACCAGGACCAGAACCTCGCACAAACTCAATCTTGCAGTCGCTTTCATGAACGTCCACAGAGACAGGGTCGAGTACAGGCATAAGTGTCACCACAGCTGTAGAAGTTTGCATCTTGCCACCTTGCTCGGTAACGGGAACCCGCTGCACCTTATGAACGCCAATTTCATGGCGGAGGTTGCGATACACGCCGTCACCCGTCGCTTGAAATTTAACCCCCGTACTTGCCTGTACTGGAGCCGTGAACGCCGCGGCATCACCGCCGCCACCTGCTCCCGCCAATCCTCCTCCTCCACACCCTCCTGCCCCTGCCCCATCCTCGGCTGCCTCGATACGCCAATTTCTGATGTCAGCAGCATAGGCCTGGTACATCCCAGCCAGCTCTGCAGCAAACAAAGAGGCCTCTTCACCTCCCGCCTTCCCAGTCACCTCCACTATCCATGCACGACTTGATGATCCCAGCGCGTCACTAGATTCAAGTCGACGTGCCATCAGACTATTTACTTGAGCATCCAGATCCCGTACCTGACCCAAGAGAGATTCAATATCTTCTTCCAGCATCAATAGAAGGTCCTGGTCTTCTCCAGTTGAATTCTTCCCTGAAAGAATTTGATCTCGCAATTTTACGTTCTCATTCAATTTTAGCAAATAAACAGAAATCGCCTCGGAAATGTCAAGTTCCTCTCTGTATTGAATGTTCCACATAACATGATCAAAGGGCTTTCCATCAAGCTTATTCTTCAATGCACGTAATGCATCTGTCTTGCCCTGCTCCTGTAAACTTTCGAGTTCCAGACGCTTTTGATTTAATCGAAGAAAATACTCTGTAACTAAAGGATGGTGAATTGGGTTTAAAAGGGCTCGAGTGTTTTCCTCGAGAAACCATTTCTGATATGGAATCGGATTTTCATGCGCCAGCTTCCTGACCCCGCCTTGCGTTCCCCCCGCACCAAACAAGAGGAAAGGTGCCCT